CCTTTTGGCTAGCTCTTAACCACTACACCACTAGGGTTTCCATATTATGCAACAGTTAAAAATAATTAGATAAATCTATAGGTAGTCAGTATATATATATATATATATATATATCTATCTGAATATAATGTATATACATAAAGACATTTAAATATCTGCATGAGTATTTAAAAAATCTAAAAAAATACACAACCAACTATTAACAGTGTTTTTCCCTAGGAAGTGAGCTTTGATGTCACTGGGAGGACGTAACGGAGAGAACTTTCACATTTACTTATACATTTCTCTATTGTTTGAATCTTGTGTAACAAGCTGTGCGTTACTCTTGTAATTTTTAAGGCTCAAAAATAAGAAAAATCAAAGTGTACGCCAGAAGTTGTTTCTGGCCCACAGTCTAGTTTATGTCTTTAGAGTTATCATTTCCAAACTGCACATAGTTAAGGGGGGATGGAAAATTGGACAGCAGGCTCTATTCCCGCTTTCTTGTCCCTTTGTCCCGTATAAGAATGCAAGGCAGCATGGCCAGACCTTCAGACTGTCCCCACGTGGAGTTCCCTAGGACAGCAAGGATGTCCCTCATAGACCATCTCTCTTGTCCTCACCCTACCCTCTTCGTCCCCTCCTGACTCATGCTATGTTTTTAACTCCTTCCCATCTGTTATGGATTGAATCGTGTCCCCCAAAAGTACGTGTTGTAAATCCTAACCTCTGTATGGTTATAATCCCTCTGGGAATGAGTTGTCTTTGTTATGTTAATGAGACAGGATTAGTGTAGGGTGTGTCTTGAGTCAATCTCTTACAAAATTTAAAACGAGATTAAGAAGCAGAGATGAGGGAAGAGAAATGCCAAGCTACATGAAGATCACCCAGGAGCAGAAGCTCAAAGACGCAAGACCTTGCTCCAGAGCCAACAGAAACAGAAAGCCTTCCCCTACAGCCGGCACCTTGAATTTGGACTTCTGGCCTCTTAACGTGTGAGAAGGTAAATTTCTGTTTGTTAAAGCCGCCCAATTATGTTATTTTTGTTACAGCAGCACTAGATAACTAAGACACTAGATAAGTAGCTAACTAAGACACCGTCTTACATCAAAAGTTCCTATCTTGCCTGTTTTTCCACGTTGCCACCTCCTGCCTTAGAGATTCGGCAAGTCCCAAATTTCCTTCCATGTCTTATTTTCACCAATTCTGTTATCTGATGTGAATCAAAATTGCTGTCTGCCCACCCAGTTCTGCACCTTTACGTCCAGTGGTGAGAGGCTGAGGAAGAAAAATGTTGCCTGAGTCTCCCCATCTGGATTATAGCTTGCTTTGGGGGTTATTATTCCTGTGTACCTAGAATTACCTTGGTCTGCCTACGATGCAGCAAATTACTTAATATGGTGCCTCTAGCCATAGTCTTTTGACTGCCACACAGTGATTGGGTGAGACTATGTAAATAAGGTGTATGGAACCTGTAATGGTTACAGTTATATGTCAACTTGACTGGGCTATGATTTTCAGTGGTTTGGCAGTTATGTAATGATGTAGTCATACTCCATTTTTGTGATGTGATGTAATTATTCTCCATTTTGTGATGTGTTGTAAATCCTAGCTTCTATGTCTGTGGTTATGCTCTCATTTGGGAGTGAGTTGTCTATTATATTAATGAGACAGAATTAGGTTGGGATGTGTCTTGTCACCACCTTACTAGAGAGTGTGACTCAAATCACCACCCTTACCCAGTCACCACCCTTACCACCCTTATTCAAGTTCCACTCTTACTTGAGTCACACCTTTTATTTTACAAGAGCTAAAAGGAGAGAGAAGCGAGTGGGGGTGGGGGAGAACCTCACTACCACCAAAAAAAGAAGAGCTAGGAGGGGAGCATGTCCTTTGGACCTGGGATCCCTGCACTGAGAACCTCCTAGAGCCAGGAGACAGAGAGCTGAAACACTGGAGACAGTGAGAAGCAGCAGCAGAGAAATGGTGGCAGCAGAGGCAGCAGAACCAGGAGACTGGCAAAAGATGGCATGGTGGGCTTCCCAGCCCATGGAGCAGGAGGGCTGAGCACCTTCGGGCAGGAGGCTTGCTGGTGGAATGGAATGCATTCGGGCACTTGTTGGCATAGATAGCCTTGTTGACCCACGGAGCTAGAGAGCTGAGCGCCGTCAGGCCAAGGCTTACTGGTGGAGTGGGGTGCCTCTGGGCACTTATCAGTGCAGCTAAAGAGTATTGTAACACTCTTAAGAGTGTTCAGAGGCCGAGGGGCCTGCCTGTGAGCATGGCTGAGAGTAGCTGTCCTGACTGAAGAACTGTATCCTGATCCTGAACTGTAACCTGTTACTTCCCTAATAAACCCCATAATTGTGAGTATTGTCTATGAGTTCTGTGTGGCCATTGCAACGAATTATGGAACCCAGTGGAGAAGCAGAGAGTGCCATGGGAGGAACAGCTGATGTCAGAATTGGTAAAAAGTTTGGAGAGAGGAGATACCTCTGACCTCCACTTCACAGGAATCAGCCTTGGGCTGTTGATGATAATGGTTCTCCTCCCTCCTTGTGAAGTTAGACAAGCAGGTCTGACGTCCCCACCCCGATACCATGACCACACTGCCTGAGATCATTTCTCTCCAGAAACACTCATCTGCTAGCAAGATCCACGCTCCTCCACTACTGTATTTAATTTATATAATTTATTATTCTGAAAGAGGATTTGACCCCTTCCGCCTTTGGGTTACACTAGAAAGTCCTTTCTGTTTAACCTGATGCTGAAAGGTGCTGTGCCCCACCGCTCCTTCCTCATTCTTGGGGTTACCTTCTGGCTGCAAGGCACAGGGAAGGGGGGAGGGAAGAGTACACCCATCACATAACAGTAAGTTCCGTGGGCGCCTTGTATGGACTGTGTGAATCAACAGCAATGCTTAGATCTTGGATCAATTCTTAACTGCTCATACATAGCTTTAGACAGTACTCCTTTTCTTTTATGTTTAACCTCATTTCTATTTGGTATAAATTCAAGCCAGCCTGGGTTTGTTTCTTGGCTCCGTTGCTTACTTGCTGTATTATCTTAAGCAAATCATTTATCTCTGTGCCTCCGTCCCCTTGTTGGTAAAATAGGAGCATGAATAGTACCAACCTTATCGTGGTATTGGGGTTAAATAAGTTAATACAAGTAGAGCACATAGAATAGTGCCTGGAACATAAGTATATGCTGTTATGTGCTATTCTTTTACAAATGCCCTTCTTTATAACATTTCTCTTTAACTCATATTTATTTTTCCTATTTTAATTAAATCTTCCAAAGGTATTGATCGTTTTTAGACAGCTCTCTTACTATCTGTATCATGCACCCACAATTCAGTCTTGTGGTCGTATGCCCCCGCCCCCCGCTTCTTTGGTCTCAGTACTTTCTTATCATCGTTCCGGTCTCATCTTCCTGTTAACAGGAGGCCTTCCTGACCGTATGTCCCACGGCTGAGTTCCACTTGTCATAGGCACCCTACGTTTCCCCACGGATACACTCAGGGAACGGACAAATACTTGCTCCCTGTCCCTCTTCCCCTGTAAGACTGTGGGCTTCCTAAGGGCAGACACCACGTCTGTCTTATTTGATGCTGCGTCTTTATCATCTAGTGCTGAGCATGGGGCATAGTAGGTACGTAATACATGCTTACTAAGAAAATGCAGACACAAGAAATAAGATTAAATGGGTTAAAAATCTCAGTCTGCTTTTCTGTAAAAATAACCTCTAAGAACACAGACCATTTAGACCAATTGTGAAAGGGAAATAAACACCTGGAGAAAAGATTGTTTCCACCTTTATTGGGCCAGGCCCTTTTCTAGGCATGCTTACTGTGCTAAATGCTGGTATAGGCTATTAAGCTGATAATGTTAATTATTGCTTCTGTATAGCTTGGTGTAAAATTGAGTTTCATCTTTGGTACAAGCTTATTTACTGCTTCATGAAAAGCTTTGGTATAAAAAACCTTTCCCTTTCGCTTATTAAGGTGATAAGCTCCAAATGCTGGCTCTGAAAACTAACTCCTGCAGAAAGAACATGGATCTCAAATCATCCTCGTTAGTCTGTCTTGTTCTTACTATTTTGCTCTTCTGCAGCCAAGCAGAAAAAATAAATGTGCGTGTGCGTGTGTATTGTTTCTGGGAAACTCGGTGAGCCGTCCCCAGGTGGTACAAATAGTTAATGCACTTGGCTGCTAACCAAAAGGTTGGAGGTTCAAATCCACCCAGAGGCACCTTGGAAGACACGCTGGGTCATCTACTTCTAAAAAATCAGCCTTTGAAAACCCTATGGAGCACAGTTCTACTCTGACACATGGGGGTCGCCATGAGTTGGGATCGATTCAGCGGCACCTGGTTTGGTTTTGGGTTTCCTGCTAATTAGGAAAGGCTTCTGGAAACTTCATTCCTGGTACAATTGTTTCAAATAGTTGCGTGTGGAATAAGTGAAGCTCCCTCCTTAGCCCAGTTGATGGCTCTAACCAATATTAGAACTTTGCTCATTGATTCAACAGTAAATTTCTGAATGCCTGCTGTACACCTGAGGTCAGCCTGTTTTGTGAGTATTTGAGCCGTCTTAGACCAGACACCTTTCAAACATAGTGGTTTATTCAGAGTAAGTAAAATAACTGCCTTGCACCAAAAGCTCAAGTTTCAAAAAGGAAAATAAACTGAGATCTAAGTCATGAAAAAGAAAAGAAAAACCTGATAGCTGTAAATAATATAAGCATCCCAGCTGAGAAACGTAAATTCACCAATTCGTTCTCCTTCTCATGCGGTAAGTACTGGTTGGTTAGGAATTAGCTTTGTCTAGGAGTAACTTCACCTCATAACTTCTCTTTTCTTTCTTGTGTTTCTGTTAAAATGGAAATGATTTATTTCATTAACTTACCTTAGTTAAGCCTATAATATTAAATCCAATCAGAAAACATAATCATAATAAGTTTAGAACCAAGAATTGAGAGATTCCCTCTGAATAAATAGGATTACATTTTCCTTTTGCAGATGCAGATACTGGCATTATGATGAAAACCTGCTGACTTCCAGTGTTGTGATTGTCTTCCATAATGAAGGGTGGTCGACGCTTATGAGAACAGTCCACAGTGTCATTAAAAGGACTCCAAGGAAATACTTAGCAGAAATCGTGTTAATCGATGATTTCAGTAATAAAGGTAATGGCTAGAGAATTGACATTTTTGTCTATAAAATAAGTTAATTATTAGTAACTGCAGAAATGCTGGGCTGCTAACTGAAAGGTTGGAGGTTCGAGTCCACCCAGAGGTGCCTCAGAAGAAAGACCTGGCCATCTACTTTGGAAAGATCATAGCCATTGAAAATCCTGTGGACATACTCTGACACACATGGGTTCATCATGAATCAGAATTGACTCAGTGGAAACTTATTTTCAGTAAGTTGGTACTATGCCAAGCATTGTATATGAATTATTTTGTTTGATCCTGACAATAACCTTATGCAATGGATATTATTATTATTATTTA